GGGGAGGGGCAGAGAGAGAGGGAGAGAGAATCCCAAGTTGACTTGCAGAGCCCGTCATGGGGCTCGATCCCACAACCTGTGAGATCAGACCTGAACTGAAACCAGAAATAGGTGCTCAACCAACTGAGCCACCCAGGCAGCCCATTAAATGATTCTATTATGCTACAATAGGAAATGGATTAAGTGACTTAGCGTTTATGTGTGTATAACATTCACTGGAGTATTATGCTGTTATGAAATATATAAATAATAAATGTCTCAAGATTTGCATAAAAGAGCTTGTGATAATATTAAAATAGTACAAACTGGTATATGCAGAAGAAATCTCAACTATGTAAAATGTTACTGTAAAGCTCCCGTAAGGGGATGTGCCAACATGTTAAGTCCTGTTCTCTCATGGCAGAATTCCTCTGAACATACAGTTAAGCAAAACCTGTTTTGTTTTTTGTATGTTCTAAATTTTCTAGAATGAGGGCACCTGGCTGGCTCAGTCAGAAGAGCATGTGACTCTTGATCTTGGGGCTATAAGTTTGAGCCCCACATTGAGTGTAGAGACTACTAAAACAAACAAACAAACAAATAAATAAATAAATTTTCTAGAACAAATATGCATTATCATTGGGGAAACCCATGTTACTTTACATATGATGTATATGGCTGTATATAGATTTAACTTAGCCCCTGGAATTTCTTTGTGGAATACCATGAATATCACTGGAAGTTGGTGAAACACCTTTATTTAGCCTGATTAATACTAGAATTTGAGAAACACAGTTTTTAAAATACTCAGGATCTCCCCAGGCCCCACCAGGATCTTATTTTTCAGTTTTAAGTACTTGCTCATTACTAAAGACAAAGCCAGGGACCCACCTCTTAAGATATCAACTTAATTATAGACATATGTAGAGGCTGACATTTTCATTAGGCTAATCTTGTCATGTTTCAATACAGACCTGTGAGGAAAAGGTCTTTATCCAATCTTTATAATTGAACTTCCTATTCTTGTCTTAATCAAAAGAGTAAGTGGCATTTCTGCAATCCTGTTAGTTTTTTTTTGGACTCAAGAGGTAAGAACCTACCCATTATTCAGCAGAGGCAATTTTTATCATTCCAATGCATATTTTAGTTAACAAAATAAGTATTTCTTTTATCATTGAATGTTTTACCCCCTCACCCCCCCCCTTTTTTTTTTTGAGAGAGAGCACACACAAGAGTGGTAGAGGGGCAGAGGGAGAGAGAATCTTAAGCAGGCTCTGTGCCCAGCTTGGAACCCTATGTGAGTCTCGATCCCACGACCCTGGGATCGTGTGACCTGAGCTGAAATCAAGAGTCTGACGCTTAACCAACTGAGCCACCTAGGCACGTCTGAACTCTTTGCCTTGTATAAAGTGTTAATATTATCTTCTAGCTTGGGGAATTAGGAGTTTTGCCATCTAAGTTCAGGATGTACTTTGTAACTTCTCTGAGTCTTCCTTTCCTTCCTGGTAAAATAGACATAATCTGTTTTCCTTCTTGGATTATTGTGAGGGTCAAGTGAAGTAGAATGGCTATGTGATGTTTATAAACCATAAGACAGTTATAAATATGTGTGAATTAAGGGAGAAATGTAAAAAATTTTCATGTATTGGCAGCACCATCTGAAGATAATCTTTATAGGAAGATTTTTTGTGAATTCAGGTTTTTAAAAAAAAATAGTTATAGCAGTCTTGTGTTTTTATTTGACCATCTTTTATGTGTATATCTCTATATAAAAACTTTTTGTGCCACATAAGTTGTTACAGACACTATGGTAAACAATATGGATGTTCCTTAAAAATTAGAACTACCAGCAGTCCTACTTCTGGGTATATATCCACAGGAAATGATACACTATCTTAGAGAGGTATTTGCACCCCTGTATTCATTGCAGCATTATTCACAGTAGCTGAGACATGGAAACAACTTAGGTGTTTAACAGATGATCTGGAAAAAAAATTACATGCAATGGAATATTATTCAGTCATAAAAAGAAGGAAATCTGCCATATATGACAAGGGTGGACCTTGTGAGCTTTATGCTAAGTGAAAGAAGTCAGATAGGGAACGACAAATACTGCATGATCCCATGTGTGGAATCTAAAAAAAGTTAATCTCAGGGTACCTGGGTGGCTCAGTAGGTTAGGCATCTGACTCTTGGTTTCGGCTCAGGTCATGAGTTTGGGCCTGTGTCAGTCTCTGTGCTGAGGCTGCTTGGGATAATCTGCCTTCCTCTCTCTGTCCCTCCCCTGCTTGTTCTCTCTCTCTCTCTCTCTCTCTCTCTGAAAGATAGATAAAAAAAAGTTGAATTCAGAAACAGAGTAACTTGTTGGTTGCCAGGTTTGGGGGAGGGTAGGGGAAATGGAGAGATGTTGGTTAAAGGACATAGACTAGCAATTAGAAGACTAAATTCTGGTGATCTAATTAATGTACAGCATGGTGATTGTAGTAAACAATACTGTATTGTGTATTTGAAATTTGCCAAGAATATTGGACTCCTGGGTGGCTTAATGTAATTTTTAAAAAATGTGTATGCGTGTGTGTGTGTACATTTACTTAAAATTTTTTTAAAATGTTTTATTTATTTCTGAGAGAGAGAGACAGAGACAGAGACAGTGTGAGCAGTGGAGGGTCAGAGAGAGAGGGAGACACAGAACCTGAAGCAGACTCCAGGCTCTGAGCTAGCTGTCAGCACAGAGCCTGATGCGGGGCTCTAACCCATGAACCGTGAGATCATGACCTGAGCCGAAGCCGGACACTTAACCGACTGAGCCACCCAGGCACCCAGGAATAATGTAATTTAAGTTTTAAGGTCACTTACTGTCCTATGGATAGACTGGTCAGTCATATTAGGCACAGACTTGGCTGTTCCTTAAAGGATTTGGATGTGTACTTTTTTTTCATGAACCTGTCTGGAGGTGTAGTCAGTAGTCTGCCATTCTTAGGGTATTCTTTACCTGTGCTGACAGCTAGCTCAGAGCCTGGAGCCTGTTTCAGATTTTGTTGTCTCCCTCTCTCTCTGACCCTCCCTTGCTCACGCTGTGTCTCTCTCTCAGAAATAAACAGGAAAAAAAACCACCCAGATTTTATTTTTGAGTAGTCTCTACACTCAGTGTGGGGCTCCAACTCATAACCCTGAGATCAAGAGTTGTATACTCCACCGACTTGAGCCAACCAGATGCCCTTCTTCCTGACTTTAAAAGAAATTTTTTTCTAATGTTTATTTATTTTTGAGAGAGAGTGTGTGTGAACAGGGTAGGGGCAGAGAGAGAGGGAGACACAGAATCCAAAGAAGGCTCCAGGCTCCAAGCTGTCAGCACAGAGCCTGATGCGAGGCTCGAACCCATAAAACTGCGAGATCATGACCTGAACCGAAGTTGGATGCTTAACCAACTGAGCCACCTAGGCACCCCTGCTCTTCCCTGACTTCTTGAAGCATAGTTATAATAGTTGCTTTTAAAGTCTTTGATAATTCCAGCAACTTTGTCATGGATTTATTGTGTGTAGGTTGTCTTTTCCCTTGTGAGTTCTTGAGAGTTTCCTAGTTCTTCAGTTATCAAGTGTGTTGGATTGTATATAGACGTTTTAATGTTATGTTATCGTATTGTATGTCTTGTTTAAATCCAGTGGAGAATAATTTCGTGTGTGTGTGTTGGGGGGGGGATGTGATTTTTAAAGCAGGTATATGACTTTGTTAAGTTCAGACCACAAGTTTCCACCCACCTCTGCACAAAATTTCAATATCTAGTTTTCAAAGCTTTCACAGAGTTGTTCTGATCTGTTCTGCATATGTACCACTTACTGGCTAATTTGGGAACCTGATAGTATGATTAGGGTCAGACACACACAGCATAGCTCTGGAGTGACCTCAGGAGTGTTTCTGGAACTTTATGGTATCGTTTTCTTGGCTCCTTTATCTTTGTAAAAACTTTCTCCTTGATAACTTTCTGGCTCCTATAGACCCTTCTTCCCTGTCCTGTGGCTGAACAGCTGGGTCTTTCATTCCATTGATTTGCTGTATATTCCACAACTGCATCTGCCTTTGATCCCAAACAGTAGGGTGACAGAGAAAGAAGATAAGCCATATGGATTCCCTTCACACTTAGGGGACTAGAAGGGCTCTGTTTTGTTGGAGTTATCGGCCTCTGTTCAGCCACTGCTGGTATCATCACTGCCAAGGATGCTGCCTTGGCTTGGCTGGGGGCATAGGTCAAGAGAAAGGGGGAAAGCCCCAGAAAACCCCCTCTCCCTAGGGGACACCTTTACTTGATCTTCAGACCAAAAAAAGAGGAGAAATCTCTGGGAACCGTTTCTGCCTGCCCTTAATGGACAGTTCTGAATTTGTACTGCCTTTGAGTTGTCCCAGAGGAAACAGAATCAGGAAACTTTGGGGTTAAAACTTCTAGTTGTGGTTTTGTACTCCAACCCGATTGCTGCCTCAGGTAGCTGCTCCATGCATTCTGTCCAGGTTATTATTAGTCATATTCAGCAGGAGATAAACTATGCTTCCTTCCTTTTTACCAGAACCAGGAAATTTTGTTACAACTGTGTTGTTCATTTGTTTCGGTTAAGAATTTATTGAGCATTCATGACATACTCAGCTTTGCTGGAAATGTAAAGATGGATAATTTCAAAGTACCTTTAGTAGATCCACAGTTAGACATATGACATGGGAGTGGAGGCAGTAAGTAAACATGATTTTATACTAAACATTAATAATAAATTAGTTATTAGTATTAATCCTTCTTGATCCATTTCTGTTTCAGGACTTGACATATTGTGACTAAGAGAGAAGAACCTGTTTATCTTCCATTAGTTTTCCATTTTTCTTATTGTCCCAAAATAAAAGGGATGAAAAGTCTCTGGATATGTATGTGTTGGATGAAATTAATACATAGTTATAATAAGAATAAGAACTATAATTACATATATAATTATAATAACTTAAAATAAGAAATAACTTATTATTATATACTTGTTTCTCAGGTCTTAGAAAAATACCCCAATACACCCATGAGTCATAAAGAAATTCTTCAAGTTATCCAGAGAGAAGGACTAAAAGAAATCAGGTGAGTTATTTAAATATTATTATAACAATATTATAATATTAATATTATATAATATTATATAAATAATGATTATACTACTTGATTAGAGTGTTTTGTAGTATATAGCAGTGTACTTTAAACCTGAAGATTGATGATTTAGTAATAACTGCTTTGCTAATTTCTGATTTATTCAGTTGTCACATCTCTGGAGTTTTCAGTCATAGCACAGTTATAAAACCACAAGTAAGTTTAAAAAAAAAAATTCTTAGAATGTATATGTCTCCAACCCATGCACTTTAATTCTTAGGAAGGCCTGGAGCCATCTTCAAGCCTTCATCTATGAACTGAGGCTTTTAATTTAATAAGCTTGGTCATTAGCATGTAAAAAGTATTCTTTAGTATAGGGAGAGTGCTAGAAGTAGACACACTAGGAAGAAATAACCTTGGCCAGAAGGAATAAAATGGAAAAGATACATATAAAGCAGTATTTTTCAAATAATAGTTTGCAAATGTACAAATAAAACAGCTTGGGGTCAATTAACATAGGACCAAAGATAAAACACACTTTAATTTCTAAGAGCCTTCTATTACAATAGCACATAATAGTCACTTCATAATCAAGACCCGCTGTCATCAAGAAATGTTAAAATTATGTTCAGCATACTTGTATTGTTAAAGTTGAAATCTGAGAGTCTACATGAGAGATATTTTCATTAAGATGGGAAAGGTTGGAGTGCTTTAAAACTGCTACTAGTTTTCTCAAGTGGGGATGGCATTGTATAAACACCCTTAAGGAAAGTGTTCAGAATTTATGGGTATGTTCTTGATTGTCAAAGTGACTAGAAAGGACAGGAGCACTGTGGCGTTTAACAGGCAGGTAATGGGGAGGCTAAATGTCTCACATTGTGCTGGATGGTCCTTCACATTGAAGAATTGTTCAGCTGAGATGCCAGGGTAATAATGAGCTATGGTGAAATATTTGTAAGTAGACAAATTTTTTAATAAATAGCTGTTGCGTGTTCAAGATTGTAATTCTCATTTTCTTGAATATAAAATTAGTTTTTGGCCCTTGTTTGCTAACTCAGCTCAAAAAATTTTGTTTTGATTTGTGGCCAAATGTCAGTAGGCTGGGAATAAGGTTTGTTTTATGACTTTGAAGCAATGGAGTAAAATTAGTGCCTCTGAGAAATTATGTGAACGTTTAAACGTTTTTGTAAATTAAAAAATTAATCACTTAATTTATCAGTGATATAATTCTAAATCTTTATTTGAATTAGATAAGACTTACTAGATTAAAATTACAGCATAGTGCCCATGTAGTAACAGATCAATTTGTACAAAACTACAGGAGCAAAAGGTAGTGATTTTTGTGGTTCTGCGGAACTAATTCTGATAAGGTGTTCTGATTTTTTTTATAACATTCTTGGGTTTTTATAGAATATCCATGAGCAAGAGATTTCCTTTTTTTTTTTTCTTCCTTAAAATTAGACTTTTGATACACACTGGGGACATAGACCAGGATGTCTGGTGTATAGAGAGCACTCAGTCCCTTAGGTCTCAGTGATAGGTGCAGGGTCATCTGGCTCCAATATACTAAAGCTTTGTGACTTTACACTTGTTATTATCATTTCTTGGACGTAGGCAGGAATAGTAAATATGTGAAGAAAAGTAAATAAATAAAAAGGGAAAAAAGGAACTTCAGGAAAAGCAGCAAAATGGTAGAGTCAGCAGGCTTTGCTTAGTGATAACAATTTATAAGTAGCTGCTCTTGGTTAAACTATATTGTTGTGATGCAGCTATGGCACCACAAAGCAGTTCTTTCTAAGTCACCGTGGCCTTCCATTTTGTTAACTCCACGGGACTTCTGGTTCCTGACTCTTAGCATTATTTAACACAGCTGAGTACTCCTTCCTTCTTGAAACTGTTAACCAGAAGCAACGACAAACGTTCCTCCTCTCCTCCTCCTTCCTTCTCAGCTTTTGTTTGTTTGTATGTTTTTGCTCCTTACATTCTAATTTAAGTGCAATTTTGTCCACTCCCATAACTTTAAATATTATATGTTATCAATTCTCAAATATGTAGGGAAACTGTTTCTTCTGCCTTTGTGTATGCTGACTCCTTCACATGGAATGTGCTTTTCCCTGTGTTCCTTCTTATTTTTCAGGTGACATTTTGAATATGTCTTTTTCAGAGCACTTCAGCTGACTTTAGGAGCTAGAGCATATTTCCTTTGTTTGGTGTATTACAGCGTTCTGTTATTTCTTCATACCACCTAAAGTTTGAAATTACATATTTTTGTGATCTTAAAAAAATCGTCAAGCTTCTCTATTGCTTATATTAAGGTAGCTCCATGAGGAGTGACATCTGTTGTTTGTCCCCCTTCTCTTTTATGTTTGGCATATGTCAGACAGTGAAAACCTACTTTTTTTTTTTTTAATGTTTTATTTATTTCTAGGAGAGAGAGAGAGAGAGAGAGACAGCATGAGCAGGGGAGGGGAAGAGAGAGAGGGAGTCACAGATTGAAACAGGCTCCAGGCTGTGAGCCGGCAGTCAGCACAGAGCCCGACGCGGGGCTCGAACCCACGAACCGCGAGATCATGACCTAAGTCGGATGCTTAACTGACTAAGCCACCCAGGCGCCCCGAAAGCCTACTTGTTATATATGAAGTATTAGTGGTTGGAAGATCACATTCAGATGCAGTTACAGCTTTTGCTCCTGCGGCAGTGATGTGTTAAATGATAGTCTTAAACGATCATTAAAGTTTTTAGACAGATTACTGAATGAAATAGATAATATCTTCATTAAAGATGTGCTACTTATTACAGTTTAATTTTCATTCCTCAGTTCACAGTACATGGCTTTCAGTTCTTTTCTCCCTTTGTAGTTTTCCCCATCTTCCTCATTTTGAAGAAGTTCACTTATTTTGATTATTCCATATTATATTGTTTTATTTTAAAATACATTAAAGTGGAAACAGCCCAAATGTCCATCAAAAGATGAGTGGATAAATAAAGTGTAGTATATACACTCAATGGAATATTATTCAGCCTTAAGAAGGAGTGAAATTGGGATACATGCTACAAGGATAATCCTTAAAAACATGCTAAGTGAAATAAGACACAGAAGGACAAATAATGATGTGAAGACCAAAAAAAAAAAGGACAAATATTGTATAATTCCATTTATATGAGGTCCTTAGAACAGGCAGACTGATACAGAGACAGAAAGTAGAATAAAGGTTACCGGGGCTGAGAGTAGGGAAGAATAAAGAGTTACTGTTTAGTATAGAGTTTCTTTCTGGGGTGATGAGAAAGTTCTGGAAATGGACAGTGGTGATGGTTGCACAGCATTGCAAATGTACTCCATGCCACTGAAATCTGCACTTAAAAATTGTTCAGATGGGGGCCCCTGGGTGGTTCAGTTGGTTTAGTGTCTGACTTTTGATTTTGGCTCAGTTGTGGTCTCACGGTTTGTGAGATTGAACCCCGCGCCAGGCTCTGCTCTGGCATTGTGGAGCCTGCTTAGGACTCTCTCTCTCCCTCTCTCTCTGCCCTGCCCCTCTCCTGCTCGCTTGCGTGCTCTCTCTCTCTCTCTCTCTCTCTCAAAGTAAATAAATAAACTTAAAAAAAGATTCAAATGGTAACTTGTATATTATGTATATTTTGCCACAAAAATCGTATTAAAAGTGAAGTGATTGGCTTCTGGCTAAGAAAGACTGAGGTACTAGTCCCTTAAGAATTTTTAAGAGGTTTTCTGCAGTCTTTGAGCTGTACAGTTTTATAATTCTCAGGGTCTGGTATAGACAGAAGCTACATGGTAATTTGAACAGGGAAGTTACTAAGTTAACTAGTTATTAATTGGTTACCCAGAAATAAACTGTTAGAAGGGAACAGCCAGTACATGCAAGGCTGACTCAGTGTGACCTAAGGAGACCCCTCCATGTCCCTAGGCTGTGATTCATATCTTAACGGACCAGGTAGGGCTCTGGTCCCGTGGATGACAAAGTTCACTGGTGCTGTAGCCTGGGCTAGCACTTCGGAAAGTGCCTACTATTAGAACTTGTTGGAAAGCCTCCTACTGGGCTCTTGTCCCACATTCACGGGGGAGCCAGCAGAGGCTCCAGCAGAATTTTCTGGGAAACCACCCGCACGCATTCTGCTGAACCTTGCTGAAGATGGAGTGCTGTCAAGTGTCCCTTATGTTGCTGGGTGCTGCCTGTCATAAGAGCAGGCAGGCGACTCTACAGTAAAACCGGAAAGAAAAGCGCCCTTTCGTTCTGTAGTGTTCCTCCAGGACTCTTTTGACAAACTTAACATTGAGCCAACTGGCAGAAAGTGTTTATAGGGCCCAGCTCCACTACTACAGAGAGGGACAGAGAAAGCTGGATTTGGAGCTAAAAGTCAATAAATTGATAATTAGCACAACAGCCTTCAGTAGTTTTTCAGCAGAATAACTGAAATTGTTGTCTGGCCCCGTATACCATTTTGGCTTACTTGATTTGTTTCCATATTCACTCCAGCTAAACTGATACGCTGCTGTTCTCCATATGGTATCTAAGATTTCTCACTTTAAAGCATAATCTTTCATCCTCTCCTCTTCTCCCCCCCCCACCCCTTTTTTAATTTCAGAGAGTTTTCTTAGTGAATGGACTGTTACTGTTCTATAATTACCCTCTTTCTCCCTGGTAATAGTCTTTGTTTTGAAATCTGTTTTTGATGCCAGTGGAGTCACTTTTGATTAGTGTTTATGTGGTATCCATTTTTTAAATGTATCTATGACTTTTTATATATTAAAGTGTGGTTTTTATAGACAACACGTATTTTTTTTGAGAAATATTCTATCTGATAATCATTAACATGATTAGGTTTACTCTCTCATTTTACTGTTTACTTTGTTTTTCCTTTTATTTTACTGTTCCCTCTCTGCTGCCTTTTTCAAAAAATAATTTGAGGGTTTTTCAGTAAAACATTTTATTTCATTTATATTTTGATTCATTTCTCTGCATTGCTTGGAGTGTAAT